GGCAACTCCCTGCTCGGTGGGAAACTCCCATCCAATTTCTCTGTCACGGGAGTGTTGAAAGCTAACGTGAGGTTGCCGAGATAACCAATGAGATGGATACCCACACAAAAACTCTCACCAAACGGGATACAGTCTTCATAGGAGGACAGAACGACAACAATTTGGTTGGTTACTTTAGTCCTGAACAACATGTAAACAAACAACAACGTGCCGCCCAAAACACAAACATTACAGTCTCGACTCCGCCCTTCTGGTTCAACAAACCAACACTGTGCAAAGCAATTGAACACGCAAACCACCAACTGAAACTGCATCGGAGACACACGAGTTAAATTATTTGAGGTAAACTCTCTCTCAAAAAAACACTTCAAGTTTGGTCTTCACCTTAACCCTGTCGGAAAACTGCACTCGGAAGCGAGCTTGCAAAACACTTCCTTTCACAAACTCGGCAGTGTCTTGTCAAAGACCACTTCCACACCCACGTCTCCAAGTTCTCTTCCATCCTCCGGGACCTCTTTGAACACAATTACCGTATCCTCTGAACGTAACCTTGTACTACCTCTCCCATTATTCATTTATCTACATATGTCACCCCTTCTACCTCACCTCACTGCGGGGGCACAGTACTTCCTTCGACCATGCACTCGTGGTAAAAATGAGATACATAAATAGCAACTACAGTTAAATGCAGCAGAGAACCATCCGTGTAGGTAATGCAAGCACATTATATAATGCATCATTATGAGAAATCTCTTTCAAATAAAATTTAGTTTATCGAGGAAGCATTACAGTGTGATCTAGGTCAAATATATAAATTTTTACTTTACAGACATTGCTTGCCTCTTAATGATCTAAACACACTAAAAATTCCTAGTTTTTACTGTGCAGGATCGCTTTGTAGAGTGAAGGAATCAAATAAAAGCCTTGCTTACGGAGGTTCATGTATTTATGTAAGAAATGATATTGAAATTAAATTCAATTTATATGCAGCTGAAAAAGTTTTTGAACTAATTGTCGTACATTTTATTACGCCCAAAACTATCATACTTTGCATCTACAGACCTCCAACTAAGCGAGCTTTAGATAATTTCATTTTCTTAGAAAATCTAGAGATACCTCTGAACAAAATTAGTAATCTATCTTTTAAATCCATTGTTATATGTGGAGATTACAATATTGAGTTTCTGAACGAATCTTACGAAAAAGAGTAGTTTCTTAATTTACTGCATTCTTTTAATTTAGATATTACAGGGAATGTACCTACACGAATTACATTTAAAAGCAAAAAACTACTTGCTGAAGGAATCATGGGGCACAATTTACAACGCTATTGACACAAATGAAAAATATAAACTATTTTCCTCAAAGCTTTCATTTCACTTTAACGCGTGCTTTCTTCTCAAAACGAGAAAATTAAACATTTCACTGAAAAATAAAACTTAGATCACACAAGTAATTAGAACATTGTGTAAAAACAAATGTACGCTTTACTTTATTTCCAAACATCATAATGTATCTCCGGGTTTCCATGTCTACTTCCGAGAATATAAAATTTAAGGAAAGTAATAGTTCACGCATAAATAATGAGGATATTTTGAACGCTAGTAACAAAATTAAAGCAATGTGGAATATCGTAAATAATATGACCACATCATTACGACACTTAGTAGTGAAAGTTGTTTTAAAGGATAATGAAAGAGAAGAAAGTAACCCAGAAAAAGTGGCTAAACTCTTCAACCAACACTTTTCTAGATCTGCGGCTCACAAAGGGACTAAAACCAAAAAAGGGTAAAAATTAAGCCACTTTTTAAAAAAGGGGAACAAATATGAAATTCAAAATTACCAACCAATTTCTCTTTTGTCAGTTGTCTCAAAAATATTAGAGGCCTTTCAATATGTGAATGGAAACTTTTCTGAGAAAAATGACGCGTGTACAGACTCACAAAATGGTATTAGAAAATCAAAATCTACGAAAACTGACATGTTTATCTTTTCTTCAAGTTGTTGCTTCATCAATGGACCAAAATGAAGTACCCATTGGAATATTTTTGGATCTTCCGAAAGCTTTTGAAGTTATTGCTCATAACACATTGCTATCAAAATTACCTTCTTATGGAATTCGTTGTATAGCCCTAGATTGCATATCCTTGTATCTAAAACATCGATCTCAAGGAGTAAAAATACCATACTGGCACGAAAGAACATTATTTACTTATCTTTCCAATTCTTTACCAATTGAATATGGGGTGCCGCAAGGCTCGATCTTAGGTCCTCTCCTCCTTCTATTATACGGAACGAATATGCCCTCGCCTATTAAAAACGGAAGAAAGTTCTGTTTGCGGATGACACGAATATTCTTTGTAAAAAAGAATAAATAGTACGATTTTAGAAGTTTCAAATTGGTTTCGTTCTAATGAGTTAATAGATAACGAAGGAAAAACAATTTCAATGAATTTTTGCATTTCAAGTCAGCAACTGCATGCCCCATTGAAAATGAAGAATATGCAATTAGCTGATGATGTCCAGGTAACAAAATTCCTAGGTCTCTCAAATTAGTCAAACCTCCAAGGGAATGTTCATAAAAGAGAATTAAATACTAAATAATGTCCATTATGTGAAGCATTGAGAATTCTTTGGAACGCGGCGGCAAGCAGGCCCCGCCCCAGTCGGAACAAGCTCTAACTGCCTTGGAATCCCGAGGAGGGCGTCAGTGTGGGGCTGCGAGCGGCAACGGGCGACTCACTGTCGATCCAGCAGCGGCGTGCGCCCACGTGCGGCAGCAGCGGCAGGTGCTGCGGCGCCGCGTACTGCAAGACGAGCGTGGCGGCCGTGAGGAGCGCGGGGCTGCCCCACGCGTACAGCGAGTAGGCCAGGAAGCGGCGGCGCTGGCCCTCCGCGCTGGGCGGCTGCGCGCTCACGCGCCTGCGCACACACACACACCCACACGCCTTCGCTTGCGCCACTACAAATCGCACATTCAGCATTCTGTGGCACTAATGTTCGTGTACACATCTCAATTCTTTAGTAATAGAAGTGGCTTTCGCTTGTGAGTAGCTCAGTGTCTTTAATTTTATTGGAAAATATTGAGTGCTTTTTAAAAACTGGCCATAACATTTCTCCAGTGCGTATTGTGGGTGATACTGTCTTGTGCTGCAGGAAATCGCTGTGATTGCTTATGCATAATTTTTTTGAGGTTTCTGCACATCCTATGTGCTTACGATGAATAACGGATTCTAACAAGAGGAGCTAATGTTTAATTCATTATTATAGGGTTTTGTGCTTTACGTCAAAAAATAATATTAAGTTAATTATTTTTTGTTGTCAGTGAGACTTTTATTCTATTGAGTAGGCGCATATTTATATTCGGCTATTGACCCCCAATCGACTCGTTGATCAGAGTTGAGTCCATTCAAAATTTCATCGTTGGAAACCGTTGGGAAGCCCTGGAATGGAGTGACTTCTGGCAGATCGAGAGCTTCGATACGACTAAATTTTTTGGTTTCGAAGGTTCCCATGGGATACCGCGTGCAGCTAATGATTTGTTTCAAATCGGAGCGCAGCGCAGAAGCGCCTCGAACGGTCGCGCCGTCCGTCGCCCGCGCGCGGAGCCCGGAGGAGATTTTCTCTACTTCCGCCCCCGGTTAGAGCAAAACACACAAGAATCTTACTTCTATTCGCTCAAATGCAATGTGGATAGAGCTGTCTGAGCGAGATAAAGGGCCGGGAAGGTGACTGGGAGGACATGTCGGACGGGAGAAGTACTAGTTTACATTTATTTATTGTAATAAATGAATCTAAACTAAGTCGGAACACCCTGGCATTTTAAACTTTCCCGACTTATCAGGTTTTCGCCTTATAAGAGGTCGTCCAACATTTACTTTGCAACTTGAATGTATTATTTCCGATGAATTATTATCAATGAAACAAAATAGGGAAAATTGAACATCATTTATGTTAGTGAAACGTTCGAAATCAAAAGAACTTGATTCTGCACTTTGGGAGTTGGGAAAGACGTTACCAAAAATAGCAGCCATGTAGGTACAATTTATTAGAGGACTGGACCGCCGTATTATTCTTTTTTTAAAAAGAAATTATCAGAAATTGAAGTAAATGTCATTGCCCCGGTTCACGTGTTCTTAACTAAATAAAATTCTTTTTCGTGGTGGGTAGGATTTGGGTTATTAGAAGGGGTTTCACATTAAACGGTTCCGTTTAGAGATTTTCTAGCGGGCATGTAACGTTTCCTTCTTCAAAGGAACACAACACGCAAACGTGTGCCTTCTGCTTTTTAATGAGATGACAGGGGCACTGTCCACGCAACTCGCGCTTTAGCCTTGTGGAGTCTGGGTAGACGATCTCTTTCTGGACGTATGCGGTACTAAATGTTTGATAATTACCTAATATATTGAGAAATCAATAAACAGACATTAAATTAGACAGAAATATTCGTAAAAAATGAAGGAATTTTTTGATTTTATTTAGTACAAAATTTGTATGCTATTCTTATTTTAATAATATTTACACATTTTTCTGACAAAAATAAAACTTTCAAGAAAATAGTTAAAATTTGCTTGTTATTGTTATTAATATTTTTTTATTTTGAGGATATTTTTTAAAAAAAATTTTTTTTATATTCCTCGCGATTTCAGCAGAAACGTTTGAATGGACTCACCCGAAAGTCCACGCGAGGTCAAAGCACATGACGTTCAACCAGAAGAAGGTGGCCAGGAAGAAGTACTGGTGGACCCGAATGATGGAGGAGGCCTGAAGCATTTAACACCACAGAAAAAAAAAAAAAAAAAAAAAAAAAAAAAAATGTAATCGCTATAAACTAAAGAATGAAATCTGATTAAAACTCTTGCCTTACAAGATTAAGATTTCTGAAATTCGCAGAGGCATATCAGTTACTTCGGAGTCTATTGAAGGCCAATGAAAGAGCTTGCTCACTTGAATTAAAATTTGGAATTAAAAAAATAAACATTTTAACTGACTTCAGTACAATGTTAGGATTATTATTATGTATTGAAAGGGTACGTATTAAAAACGGCCGATATTCCTGTCATAAGTATTAAATTATATGACAATCGGACATTTAATAAAACACTTTCTGTATTAATATCATATTAGACTTGAGTTGTGATTGTCGTTTTTTAATTTACTTTACAAATAATAGTGGGTATTTTGAATACAATCGATAATTAATTAACATTAATTTGCATCACATCATTTATTGTGTAGATGTACATTTCTATTTGACGTTTTGAACGCACTGACCTCTCTTGCATGCATTGATTCTCTCCATTAGAAGAGTTAACACTCCAACAAAAAGATTACTAATTAACAATTACCTTAAACAATAAATTAGACAAGAATTGATGATGGGGAAAACATTACTCCCGAAAAGCGTGGGAGGAAGGAATGTACAAGTGTACAATACGTTATGTGATAGAAGGCCACAGTTATTTGTACTGTTCCTCCCATCATAGCGAGGGCGGCTGACCGGAGGCGCTGCAGAAGGGCTCGGCGGCGACGCGCAGCACGTGGCCGGCGGCGAGGGCGGCGAAGGCGACGGCGAGGGCGGCGCAGTGGCACATGAGCGCCTTGGCGTGCGGCGAGCGGCGCAGCTCGGGCAGCAGCGCGTGCACCAGCAGCGTCGCCACCAGGAAGAGCGCGCCGCTCGCGAACAGCGCGCTGTAGTACACGTTCTCCTGGCTGGGCTCCCCCGCCAGCCTGCCGCGCCAACCAATTTCACGCGTGAGGACCATTCGTATACAACGTGTCCACGGTTCTTTGTATTTTCATCAGATACTTCAACGTATTTAAATTTATAACAGGAAGAAGGCAGGTCGCATTTCCAACAGACATGCACTGGAGTGTGTAGGTGTATTCGCGCGTTAACAAGCGTGCACATGCTCCATGTATCGCCTCCAGCTGCACGGAACAAGGTCTACCCTCCTCCCGACATGTGTAAGGCAAGGGCACTGGAGATGAGCGCCTGCCAGTGGCCAGCGCAGAAAGCACTCGATTCGAACGCACCTGCGCGCCTGGCAGAAGAAGAGGTCGCGCCTGGGCGGGCGGCCGCCGCCCTGCGCCACCTCCGCCAGGCAGAAGTGGTGCGCGGCGAAGGCGCGGCCGTGGCCGTAGCCCTCGACGAGCGCGGACCCGTTGCGCTGCAGCCACCAGCGCTGCGAGGCCCCGCCGTCCGACCGCAGCAGCTGTCTGCGCCGCCAGCACGCAAACGCATTGCCATTCAGTCGTCTACTCGCTAGTTCTTGCTACACTTTCATGTGGTATGTTGTGTTGTTTATTAAACAGAAAATATCAGCTCTGAAGATGGATTTTTCCTTTCATTTACATGTTTCTGTAATAGTTAAAAATGAGCATGATTGCCCTTAAACGATTTTACTATTTAAAAACTAGAAAATGTGGCACAGTGTTTGTAATAACTTAAAAATATAAAAAATGAACCTAATGATTTCACTTGGATACCAACAATAATATTCTTTCACTGAAAAAACTTGAGTAGAATTCATAAATTATGTTTTCAGTTTATTGTGACTGTGAATAAACAAAATAGTAGGAATATTCAATAAAACGTTTCCTCCACCTAAAATTCGTATTTCAAGTAATTTGAAAAATATATTTGAATTTCCGGTTACACATTACATTTAGACAATTCGATGTCAAATTTGCAAGTCCTCAAAAACATAAAATTATTTAATTGTGTGACAGTTTCGATCTGTGAGTGAACTAACGGTGTGAAGAAGAGGATGGGAGGTGAAGGAGAGATTGTGGATTGACAGATGAGAACACTTCATTGCCAAGTAATTTAAATGAATTTTGGGATCTCTTGCGTTGTAACGTCGTAGCGTGGAGCTCACCATAGGTACAATTTACAAAAAAAAAGAGGTTTCCAATCATGGAAGAATACTTCCATGTCTAAGCTTTATTAAATAGAAGGAACTTGTGGAATGTTATTATGAACAAGTAGCTTTAAAATAATTTCATTCCGCCTATATTGTTAATTTAGATGCTAAAATATCCGTTATGAATCCAAGAAGTAGCGAGAATTTAATCAAATTGGTACAGTGCTTCTCAGTTAGAGAGACGTAATTTATGATTGTAAAATGTAGATCCAAAAGTCAAGGAGAAGAACAATTTTGAGTCAGTATTAGTGGAAAATATGGTATTGATGATATAAAGGAATTATGAGTTAAAGTATTGGTGAGAGCGAATATGAGTTATGAAATACAAAATAACAATGTATTTTGAACAATAAATATAAATATGACAAGAATATGTACTGAAGAGTGAATTGCTTATAGAAAATAAAATAAATATCCTGGAGAAGACGCCTCGAAGATCTCAAGCAAATGAAGGTTAGTTGGAAGGAGGTGCAGTGTCGGAGGAGGAAGAAGTCGATACGATGCGTCCTCTTCGCGTCCTTGGGACTCACGTGGGGCCGACGCTTCCCGAATGCCCTGTGCCCGGGACACGGTGCCTCCCGGAAAGCCAAGTGGATACTGACTCCGGTCGCGAAAGCCAACGATGTCGGAAAAGCGGGGCGTTTATTAGAATTATTTTTTTCAACATGGTTGCTGGTAGGTTGGAACTTTCAGTTTTCTTTGTTCCCTGAGGCTCTAACATAGGCAAGGCCGCTTGCTCACTTGGCGTAGAGCGCCGCGTCGCAGTCGGGGTGGTGCGAGGAGAGGTCGGTGTAGGTGACGGGCGCGGGGTCGGGCGCGCGGCCGCGGAAGAAGACGGGCGCGGCGCGGGCGGGCGGGGCGCCGGCGCGAGGCACGCACTTCGCCTGGATCTTGGTGGCGCCCATCTCGGCGTGGAAGAGCGTGCTGGCGCCGCAGCAGCGGCGCACGCAGGCGACGCGCGCGCACGGGCACGCCTGCAGCACGGCCGTGTTGCGCGAGCCCGCCCGGTCGGCGCACCACTCGCCCGGCGCCAGCGCCACCTGCACACGTCATTCATTCTGGCGTGATGCAAAAGGTCAAGTATCAATTGCATACCAGATGCTGTAGATTGGGTTACCGCGATATTACATATTGCATTCATATAACTTCTTTATATGAGATTTCCCCCATGTTCTTTCGAAAAAATGCTTACTTTCGAACCCATATATGCCCTTAAACTTTCCAACTTTTATTCTGAACCATTCTGTTTATCGTATATGGTATGAACCCAATCTAGAGCATCTACCCATTCTCGAGCCTTAGCGTTATGATTTGCAATATATCGGGAAACGATACTCCAGAATTGCTGGGTTTAATCACGTGGCTTTCATTGTAGATGATCCAGTCACGTAGTCACGATGTACGGAGTTTCTGCCGAGTGTGGAGGCTAAGAACACACGAGTGGTCCTCCGGTGCGCGTCGCTCCACTTCACCGACAGCGAATCGTCGGAATGTGGTGGCATTGCGAAAATTTCGCTTTGGAAATACACTCTGCGCCACAGCTCGGAGCCCTTTCAACGAACGCTTTTAGGCTGAAAAGTGAGCCTGACTTCAACACGGTGCTCTGGTGCGGAATGAACTACAAATTGATTCTTAATCAATAGTTTATAAACAGTAGCTTATACAGTAATTTGTCTTTACATCTTCTCCCTTCGCACCTACCATTGTGAGGGCAGAAGCAGAGTAATTATAAAAAGCTTCAGTTCGAAAATTTGCTCATTACATTAACTTCGGTCTACGAAGTAGTATTTCACCGAGAGCTAGCAAAGGCGGTAGAGCGTTAAAGAATTTATCGGGTACACGTACTCCCTAACTTGCTTCGGATTCTCCGTCTTGTTTGCTTAACACCCTCCACTTATTGACTTTCTCGGGATCCTCCACATGTACAACCTGCTCCAGTTTATCGTCTTCTTTAGCAACCAACACTATTAATTTATTTGGGGTTCCTCGCTTTATCAACATACTCTGAATCTTCCACATGATCAGCTGTCTACGGATTTGATGTCTTGCTCTCTATTCTCCACTTATCGACATGCTAGGGATGCCCATTTTTTCCTGCCAACTTCTTCCCCAGTTTTCCATTGGGTCCCGGGGCAACGTGTCGGCTGCACCCCATGCCTTCGGGACCGCTGGTTAGCTGTCAAAGTCTCTCAGTGCAGAGTAGTGCATTTCTTTCAACTGTCGATTCCGCCATTTTATATCGCGTTGTCAGAGATGTTTCAACGGTAATGTATTGTGTGCCAGTAACCACCAATCTATCCAGTACCAATCTGAATATACTCCAAAATCTCCATTGTGCCTTCAGTTGTTTTCACTTATCCTCCAACCGTGTATGCTGCCTGGCGGAGATCTTGGATTGGAGGATCCCGAATGGCGGCATCTCCACGTGGGGATGCGATGCCTCTGACGGAAGGGCCGAGGTTCGAGTCCCGGCGATGGCTGGAATTTCGTCGCTCGCTAGATAGCTAGGTCGACTGCAGTCGCTGTCTGGTGGAGAATTGGAGCGGCCGACTGCTCTGTTCAGTAATTTTCAGTAGTTTCCCCGATCAATTCCAGGCGACTGCCAGAGCAGTACCCTTACAACGAGTCACGGATCGCGCGCGATCTTTCCTTCCCAAGTGCCCACCTCGACGCGCTGGCGTGCGCTGGGCCCGGCGGTGCGCCACACGGCCAGCAGCAGGGAGCCGTTGGCCAGCAGGCGGAAGGCGCCCGGCCGCCCCGCCGCCACCACCTGCGCCCGGGCGAACTCGCACGGCCGCCGCCCCGCCTCCGCCCACGCCCACCGCCTCGCCCCCGCGGCCGGGCGCGCCGCCTCCAGCGTCACCGGGTCGTACACCGTCGTGTTCGGGTCCATCCACCACGGGAAGCCTCCTGCAACACGCACCCTTCACCTCACATCTACTGCTCTGAGGAGTTAATTGATTTCAATGCAAATGGACATTTCATTTTCCTTCTGTAGTTAGAAGGTATGCGCACTTGATGTGCCTAAAACACTCAATTTCTAATCATTAGAATAATTATTATTTATACAAAATTATATGCTCAATATCTTATATATTTTGCCTGTTTTGTAAATAAGCATAATATTTTTCAAATTGTTAATTATTCTGAAATTGCGTGAAAACCTTCATCGTTACTTAATTAAAAATTAATGATAATGTTGTAGTGCGTGTTTCTAAAACGGTTTATTTAAGATATATCAATTTCCTCTCTCTGAATTGTATGTGACATTTGACAGGAAACTCACGATGTTTCCGAGTATTACGTGTCGTCGAGGTAGAAAGTTGGGTAGAAAATAGGACACCCTGGTGTTCCAACGAGCGTGACTTGAACTCCTTCAAGCTATAGAGAGGGCTTCCCACACTAACATGTGTGCAACAGGGCGATCGGCAACATGAAGGGAACGGCCCTTTTCACGGAATGTAATTATGCTCTAATGGGGTTTAAATACTACTTGTTAAATATATTAGCGGCAGATATACCGGTTTGGAAACTAATACTACTAATATTATTCTTCAAAATGTCTTTCAGCGGTAAAATAAAGCGTTTTAGGGCCGTATGAATATAGTGTGTGAAACAATTATGATGAGTTAATATTCATTACAATGAATACTTAGTACACATTTATTAGTACACATTTAGTATATTAATAGTGTTAAATCCGGTCTCTACTCGTGAGTGATGATCAATACATAAATAATGATGTGCTAATGATCAATAAAGACATCAGACACAAAGCAAAAGACAGGGATACTTCTTGCTCATATATATATATATATATATATATATATATATATATATATATATATATATATTTGGTGACCAAATAATATTATAATAATTTCATATCGAAATAGCTCCCATCACAGTTAAGTAGGTCGCGGGACGGGGCTTTCGTTGCGAAGAACCCTAACGACCGCCAGGCCGCGGATGCGCATTGACAGCTGCCCGACCGACCGCTGAGGAGGGTGTCACTAGCGGAAACATTTATGACCCGTCATATACGCCTCGCGCTGCCACCCTTCGCGGAGCCACTTAGCACTCAAGACAAACAATACGCGCCCGCGCGCCCTTTTGCCACGCGCCCGCGTAAGGAATCCAAATTCCCAAAGGGGTTATTTACA